GAGGGGAAGAGGAGAGAGAGGGAGGAGGGAGACGGAGAGGGAGAGAGAGGGAGAGAGAGGGAGACGGAGGGGAGAGAGGGGGAGAGGGAGACGGAGAGGGAGAGAGGGGGAGAGGGAGACGGAGAGGGAGAGAGGGGGAGAGGGAGACGGAGAGGGAGAGAGAGGGAGAGGGAGACGGAGAGGAGAGAGAGGGAGGGGAGAGGGAGAGAAGAGAGGAAGGGAAAGCAAACAAAGAAAATCCAAACAGCTGAAGCTGTAAACGTGACCTTTTAAACAATTTCTAAAGACAACATGAAAAATGTGTTTGTAACTCAATTATTTGTTTCATTATATCAAGATTAAGATATGACTGGATATTTAATACAAAATTTAGTGGATTAAAAATTATTCCTAACACAAAGCCTTGAAAGGTTGGCCATCAAATATAACTAGTTTTAGTTTTTTTTTTTTAAAATTTACTGCAGGATAATAGTCCTGCTGGAGAAACTAAATGCAATTAAAATTCCCAAGCAAATTTGTGCAACTGTCAAAATCTTATGATATTGTAATGAACATTTAAAAATTATTTGATGTCCTCTGTATGCCTCACAAATATATCAATTACTGACAATGCTTTCACTCACAAAACTAACCATTCTTCCGTGGGCAGTCATTAACACCATTATAATTTTGAAAATTTGAATTCTGCCAATAAATTGATTTCACTTAGATTTCTTTTATTCTTTAAAATTTGAACAAGATTTTTATATGTTCATTTCATGCATGTAGAGCTATTTGTATGGGAGGGTTAGGCATTTGATTTTTTTTTTTTCCTGAAAATGTATGAAAAATGAACAGACTGTCTTTTAAATACTTGAACTTATGTATATGGTACACCTACTCTTGGTAAGAGCTCTGCCCCTCCCCCTCAAATCCTTTTTCTTTCTTTTTTTTCTTATTCAGATCCCCCTTAAATATTTACCTTGAAGCTTCCGCACCATGACAGTAGTAATATGGCCAATGATATATGTGACAGCAGCTTCCAATATGTGATTAGTCAATATTGCTGGTTTAACATCTGATCTCTTTCATTAACCCAATGCTGCTGGGATGGCATGTACATACATGCCATGCCTACTCTGAGAGTTAAATCAGTTAACTGTCTTTGCACATACATGGCTCCGCAAGTGCTTAGTCACCAAAGAGTCTGTTATTCATACTATCTGTTTATCTGTTTATCCTTCTTCATTTTTGGAAGTATTGTCTTTTATCTTAAATTGCTATTAGCATTGTCAATAACATTATAATAATTATAATGTATATAATAATAATATCAATACTAATAGCAGTAAGACATTTTTTCCAAAAATTCAGGGTGAGGTCTTGAGGTCTTTTAACTGACTCCTTGATGGCCTGAGCAATTGTGGAGCCATCTATGTGTAGAAACATATTACAAAGCAAAACTTCAGTAAACATTACCTTTTCCAGGCAGCATTGGGTCAAGATGTATGTATAACAGAACATAATGAGTATCATAATAAACCATGTAACACACATGTAAACAATATGTATGATCTTTGAGAATCTCCTTGTTTCTCCCCATCTAAAGCAATAAAAAATAGTAATTGATCTTACTTAACAGTTAATGATTAATACTTCAGATATGTACCAGTTTAGTTTGCAATATAAGAATCATACCAACAGCATTACTCAGACTTTAGAATACTTTGGTTTCCTCACATCTAAAAACATTTTTCTCAAGGTAACAGACTAATATGATTAGTGTAAACATTATACTTGCAAACAAACATACAATGAGGTCTCAAGTTCATAAACTGATTAAGGTCAAGTTCAAGCAAAGGCTTTGGTTTGAATATTTTGTATGATAAAACAATTAGCTACATGCCGTCTTTGCTTTTCCTTGCACTACTTATCAGCCAGCATTTAAAAGAATAAAAACACTAAATACCTTTGGGATATAAAGCCATTTACAGCAACCGTTTAACAAAATACACATCATTATTTGCCTTGAATGACATAATCTTAATATGACAGAAAAGTCATTGAAATAGCCTCTATACTTTCAGAACATCTGGATATATTTGTGATGTATTACCATGGTAGTACTACAACATGCAATTCTGTAACAGTTGTGCTTCACTTAGCCCGAGTTCACCATAACCTAGAATAGTTACAGATAAACTACAAGAAGCAAACTGGATTATTAACCCTTTTGACTGTTATAAGCAGATCTATCAGCCCACATCATAATTAACATTATCTGCACAAAGCAGAATTATCCCATGGCCTTGAAAAAAAATCTCTATGCAGTGAGAAGGGGACATACTTGCTGCCTTATGAAGGTTTCCTAAATTCTTTTTAGCAACTTTTTTACACTTTTTGTAAGACAATGATTTAGATTTTTTTCTTCCACATTTCATCAAATATTGTTTTACAGAGCAATAATCAAAGTTTTAGTGGTAAATAAGAAACCAATACCTACAGGAGATATTGAAAAATG